ATAGCTCCACATAACAATTCAGCCTGTCTCCCCGAATGGGAAATGCACCTACACACATACTTAATGGGGTTTTTTTTTTTTAAATTGCACATTGTATTTTTGAACAAGAGAAGCTTATTTAGAGTACCTTCCCCTTTACGTTTAAAACACAAGCATCTGAAGAGACAGCCATGTGTGTTCTCTGTGCCCCTGTGGACTGATTTACAATCCTTAAATTTTTTTCCAGACAGTTATTGCAACACAGTCTAATATGATGGTGCATAGGAAAAGCCTAGTGCACAGGGTATTGCCTAAAAATTGTGCAAAATGATCATTTCAAGTAGGTGCTACACGATGATGTACAAAATCCTGAAAGTTTGGGGCAGTAAATTTGTTGTAAAATAGGGATTATTTTGGGTTGCGCATCATGGAACCGGTTTCACAAATTTTACCTAAGCGTGTGTATTTCCTAACTCTTCAGAGCTTTGCTTTGCAATGCTACTGCTTTTAACAAGTAGAGTAACTACAATAGGACTCTCTTGTTTTTCAGCGTGAGGATTTATTAAAGGTCAGAGTGCTGCAAAGTATTCCATAAGCATGAAATCTGGTGTTTCGATTACTGAAGTAAGTGAATATCCGAGGGAGGATGAACTCCTTCAAAGTGTAATGTTTGCTCTTGCTACCTTGTTCAGCTTTCTTCAGATTAAACATGTTAATTTGATAAATGTCAAAACAGTCTAAAAGTAAGTGATTTGTGTTTTTGCCCATGCAGTAGACTAATGCTGATTTGTTTTTAGTAACCAGTAAGGATGCTGGAAAACCCCGATGAAGATTTCATTTTAAACAAAAAGTACCAAAAACTCCACCAGTTTTGCATCACAAAGTAGTGGTTAAAGTTAAGATTTGAGTAAAGCAGCATATCTGTGGTTTTTGTGGGTGGATGGATGCATCTCAGAATGACTATCAATCTGTCAGAGGGGAGATCTGCATGTCATCTCTGCATATGACAAGCAAAATCAATAGTGACAAATATCTGTCCAATACTAGTCTACAGCAAGAGCCACATAACCCTCTTGCCATCTCTGGCACTTGTCTTGTCAGCCCTTGAGAGCATAAACCTTTTTTTTTTTTTTAAGAGGCCTGTAACCAATGGTGGGGTGAACTTAGGAAGGAAAGACAAATATGGAAGTGATACTAAAGCTGCAACCAAATGTCACTGCCAGTGTGCTTACTCATATTCAGACTGTGATACGTGTGCGAGGGATGCCATACCAAACAGTTGCACGGTTGCTGTCCTGCTTGTAGACTGTTCTCGTGGGTACTTTATGGTGTTCCCCTCTGTAGTTTCTGGCTGTCTGAGTGAGACAACAGCGGGACACTTGGAAGTGAAACCACAGAAGGGCATGAGGAAAACAAAATGAGAGCAGCTCAGGAATTATGATGCACAATCAAAGGAACATGAACAATTTTACTGCACTCACAATTGGCTCTAGTCGGAAACTTTTTACTGAGATGCATCCATTTTGGTGGAAAACGCCAGGTTACTAAAACCTAAACTGTTCACAGGGCAGTGCCATAGTCTCCAAGTCCACAGGCATAAGGGTGGTGGTCAGGATGCTCATCCGGGATATTGGCAGACCTGGATTCTAGGCACCTGTGCACTGGGGTGATTTGAATCCTGGCCTTCCACATCCCAAGTGGCTGCTCTAGCTACCAGGACACAGGCCATAATGGCATCTCAATCTCTGTTTTCCACTGAAAACCTTTCAGAAGTTCCAGATTCATCCCAATGCAGCATCGGGAAAATTTCTAATGACTCAAATATCCGTCAAGTGGGGAAATCATTTTCTGTCCAGCTGTAGCTACAGGATGCAATTATTGTCTGCTTAGAAACAGCTGGGAAAATCCCTTTAAATTAGATGTTTCTGTCCCTTCCAGAAAAAAACACAGAAGCGAGAAGAGCAGAGCTTTAAGTAAGCCTGTATATGCTTAGAACAACCATCATCCAGCAGCTGCCTCCTTAAGCCTTGCTCCCTGGCTCAGCTCCTCGATGCCTGGGCTTTCTCCAGTGCGGGCTGCTCTCCCCTGGCAGTCGGTTCATTTTTGTCTGCTGTCCTTGCGTCGTGATCCTTCATTCTTTTCCCTGAGGGACTAGCATCTGGCAGAGCAAGGGTCAGAAAATGCTCAGGCCAAAGCAAAGGTGCAGAGTCTGCTCTGTGGTTATCAGTTCCTTGACACGTAGCTTCTGCCCTACCTGTTTCCACCTGTAGTGCCATAAAAACAAATGCACAGTGACTGATTTGCTATGCTGTCTTGGTCCCTCCTGTATCATTTAAAAAGAAAGTTTTGAGCGGTGTCTAAAGTTTAAATTGCAGTGGGAATCTTTAAGTAAAACAGTAGAGATAATACTTTGTGATTTTCCATTAACCTTTAATTTGTGTTTTCTCATTTGTCTTCACATCACTGTCTTTAGATGAAATGGGCTGAAATGTAATCCATTAACTCTGTAGGAGACTTCTGCTTTTGCATAGCATGAATGATAGAAGTAACATTGTGTACACTGAAATTACAGTGCAGAAAATGATACCTCTGTGGGGTTCTACTGTACCTGAAATGAGTTCAGAAATGCAGCTTATCTCTGTGTAGACATCACCTGAGGTTTCATGCATATTTAATCAAGATGTGATTCATAAATGTTGAAGCCAGGGGGACCATTTTGATTGCCAAGTGCAGAACTCGCAAACGTTTTGGGGGGTCACCTACTCATTTTTACTTTGGCTGTACTGCAATGTACCCTTATGAGTGCTTGTGACAGATAACAAGGAAAAAGTCCTACTTCTTGCCATTATAACCCTGCTCTAACCTAGGAAAGATTGTAGAGTTGTTCTTCACTTTTAAGTTTTCTCCCATTTCCTCTATTCATATTTTCCCTCTCCTTAATTCCGTTTTCCCATTGAGCTTCTCATGCAAGTTCATTGCATACCCCAGTTTGAGAGAAACAGGCCTAGTGTAATTATTTGTATAATGCACAATATCTTATAGTGCATCAAGTCCAATAACCTGTGGTTAAACTAGCCCGTATCTTCCCAAAATATATCCAGACATGATTTAAAGGCTCCATGTGATGGAGAATTTTACTAGTTCCAGTGGTTAGTTTCCCCCACAGCTACAAATATGCATCTTATTTCCAACAATAGGATTTTATGCCTCTGTCTGCTGGAACAAGTGTTTCCAATTATTTGGCTAAAAAGCTGATGCCAGGTGGAAGAGGGGACCAGCCACTCCCCCCCCACACCCATAACTGTTTTTTTCTGTAGCATCAAGTAGCGAGATGCCATTCTGCTGCGTTGGCTCCCTCCACTGTAAGCTGCAACATGGCCACCGAAGTACAATGCTGCAGGCAGAAGTAGCGCATGAGGAAAGTCAAGTGGCTCAGAACGGGATTGAGAGCCGCCAGCACTTGCCACTTGCTCAGAGCTACGCAGTGAGGTAGCGCTGAGGAGCAGGGCAAGTCTTCACTTGTGCCCCTAAGGGCAAAGCTTCAGCCTAGAGCCCTGTTCTGAAGGCAGGCATCTGCGCCTTTCTTTCAAAGAGCTAAGCAGCCTGGCTCCTTTCTTCTATGACAAAGGTACTGGAGGGGATGTTGGAGCGTGTTATCCAATGACTTCTTAACATAAAATACCTAAACTCACCTATGTGCAGAAATCGGCATGCAAGCCATCCCCCTCCCACATGAGTGTCCTAGCCGCTAGGTGACAGATGCACGCTTCCTCTTGTGCTCTCCTTCCAATTCATCTTCAGCTCCTTGCATGGTGGCCCAGTTTCAGTACAACGGGAGCGGAGTGCCTCCGCCCAGCGTGGCTTCAATCTGAGTGTTTATAGACTAGAGACAAGAACCAAACAGGACTCAATACTGCTGATTTGAGCAGTCGCGTAATTTGGGGTGGGCGAGCGAGATGCATGCCCCAAGCACCACTTGGGGCGAGTGGCACCAGAAGGATGCATGGGGAGTGCCTCACCCTGGGGTTACTGCCCTGAGTGCATTTTTTCCATATGATTTTGGGGGCTTCCTGAGGAAACAGGAGACCTGACTCTAGCAGCTGCTCCAATGGACAGTTAATAAACGTACTTAATGATTCCTTAGAGGAAGGTTTGGAACCCAGTTCTCGGGGCTCTAGTGGTAGTGCCTTATACACAAAGTTATAGGCTTGCCTTCTTGCTTACCCAGTAAAGAATTATAGTATAAAAAAACCAAACAGCTTCCCCAGGAGAGACTGAGAGCGGCGCCCTCTATGATGTCCTGCAGCTGGGGATGAACACAGTCCCATCTCGGGCATGGGAGGGAATTGAACCTGGTTTCTCTCCCCCTGGGTGAGTGCTCTAATGACTAGACTACTTTTGAAATGAGGAAGGGGGTGGTCTTCCTGTCCCCAGACTCTACTGTCTAACAGGGCTGGCTTACCCGCCTTCTTGACTGTGAGCTCAAAGTGGAGGAAGGCACCCCTACGCAGCTAAGAGTTAGACCCTCAAGGCCTGAACTTCTCAAGGGCTTGAGTAGCACCACTATCCCCAGCACTTCCTATTAGCTGGCCCTAGCAATGCCCTCGGCTTCTGTGGATGCCATATTCAGGAACCGCGCCCTTCCCATGCATCCTAGAAGTTTGGGACTCAAGCCTGAGGTGGCTAGTGCCTAAAAGTCAGGTGGCTACCTCATTCCTTCTGTGGATCTGGTCCTGGGTAAACTTCTTCTAAAAAAAAAAGAAAGAGAGAGTCTTGTCTTTACAATGCCTTCAGCAAGGATCATCTCTCACTCTCTCAGACCAAATCTTCTCACTTCTCCTGTAGCCCGAAATTGTGGGCAGCCTGGATCTTAGTGCAAGGGTGCTGGCACGCTGTTTTAAGGTAATTGTGGCACTACCACTCACCATCTCTACCAGGGAGAGGTGAGCAGGGGCTAGTGACCATGCAGCCAGACAGATTATGAGGTTATCCATCAGGAGCCTAGGGGCACCCCAGTCTATGCAAAACATTTGTATTTCAAGAAATGGAAAAGCAAACAAACACGATGCTAAACGTTCCAGTCAGATATGTAGATGTGATGCATGAAAGAGTGGAACAGACATGGGTAGGCAGAATGAATCAGCAGAATGGGTGGCAGCCTGGGGAAGGAAAGCCCCGTTTTATGTGTGCCACAACTGGAGCGAATTATGTAAAGATGCATTTTTAGTAGGATCCTACTCACCCTGTCAAAACAAGGTCTATATATTGGTAACTAGGAAGGCCATGGTCAAAGTCATCTGGGCTCAGTTCAAGACCCGGAGGGAATCTTTAATAGGCTAAAATAAAATTAGGTACACATTTCTCCTAGACCCGCCACCTGTATTGTACAGACTGCCCTGTCTCAAGCACGAGGTGTTAAGAGAAACTAGACATGCAGTTGTCATCGCCTGAAAAGAAGAACACCCATTACCATTTAAAAGCTAGTTCTCCAAAGGGTGGGAAATTATCTTTGTGGAGATCAGTCAGTAACGGGAACAAAAAGATAAGAGATAATCTGGCTCTCTTATTTGATACTCAGAAAAAGACAGCACACCAGCAGGCAAGCCATTACGTTTACCTTCTCTATTTGTATGTTAAATTCGGCTACCTCTTCCTGCTGAAGAGACTAGGCTGTACACAGCTGGTGACCTGATTGTTAACTTACCCTTTGTGCATCATCTTTCATGTAGTGTAATTGCTGGAGGACAGTAGGACGCTTCCTATACTTATGTTTGGTTCATACACTGTATCATCTCTGGAACCTACTCGGTAAAAATCAAGACGGTTACAAGTCGCTAAACTTATCCTGTTTAATAAAACTTGTGACACTTCTAACACACATCCTGGTACATTTTCATGACCATTCCTCAGTCTGATGAAGGGAAAAGGCCTTTCCTGCTCCGTTTTTGCTACTATGATGAAGAGTGGAATCGTGGAAGTTGTAGCATGCTGCTGGGCTGCCCCTCTGTAATAATGCTGCCCATAAAGGTTAAGCCTGCCACAGATGATTGTACCCAATGGCATTGCTTGGCTGGTTTTTGCAGCCTAATTGCCACTGCCCCCATAGCAATGAGGTAATGTCTCTGACTTCTGGGTCAGATAAACGCTACTTGTTTTATAACCGCCAGACATGTTACTGAAACAGATAGGAAACAACAAAAAAATCCCACGACCAGCAGAACATAAACTCTGTGAAGACTATTATTCCAGTCCTTAATTTGAATGCTGTTTATTTCTTTTTTTTTTCCCCTGCTCATTGCTATTTATGGAATTACAGATCTTTGTTGGCCTTCTGCTAAGCAAGCCTTACTTTCCCAACATTTTCTTCTGAATTCTGAAGAATTCCAAACAATTCTTCTGGAGTACTGTGTTCAGTTTTGGGCTCCCGCCCGCTACATGAAGGATGTGGACAAATTGGAGACAGTCCAGAGGAGGGCAACAAAAATGGTGAGGGGGCTGGAGGACATGACTTACGAGAAGAGGCTGAGGGAACTGGGCTTATTTAGTCTAGAGAAGAGGAGACTGAGAGGGGATGTAATAGTAGCCTTCCACTCCCTGCAAGGTGGTTTGAAAGAGGATGGAGCTGGACTGTTCTCAGTGGTGGCAGATGACAGAACAAGGAGCAACGGTCTCAAGTTGCAGCAAGGGAAGTTTAGGTTAGATATAAGGAAGAAATTTCTCACTAGGAGGGTGGTAAAACACTGGAGCAGGTTACTCAGATGGGTTGTGGAGTCACCATCCTTTGAAGTTTTTAAGACCCAGCTAGACAAAGCCTTGGCTGGGATGATCTAGTTGGGGCTGGTCCTGCTTTGAGCAGGTGGTTGGCCTAGATGTGACCTCCTGAGGTCCCTTCCCACCCTCATTTTCTATGATTCTATTTCGAACTGATTTGAAATTTAGGCATCCATTCTGATTTAAAAAAAAATTAAAGATGTCAGTAAATCCACGATGGGGAACGGGTATGGTCTGTATATCCTAATGCTATTGATCATTTGCCGATAGATTCCATGAAGCCCGGCAACTTTCAGATAGTGTTGCTGGAGACATGAAAATAACCAAGGCAAGAGTTTCAAGCGAAGGACTACTAACAACCCTAATTAAAGTTAAAGGGGTTGTAAATATACTTCCAAACACCAAGGACAAAGTACTAACCTGATTAAAGGCAATGGCAGAACTCTCATCAACTCTAGGAAGGCTAGGATTTCACCTACCTAGTCTCCATCCTTTAGTCCCATGACATCCAGAGCATCTGGCTGAGTAACACCACAGCTGTGAGGAAGACTTCGTGCTTCTTTTTGGAAACCAACTGTAACAGTGCAAGCAGACTGGGAATGTAGACTAGAGTAGCAATTCAAACCCTGACTCTAAATATTACCTTGTATTGCTTAATAGCTCATCTTAACGTCCACCTCAGTTTCCCCTTTTGGAAAACATTAATAATACTTTTCTACAGCTGATAATGCTCTAAGATGAACCCTGTTTCTCCTAGATACCTGAGATCTATATGTTATTCCACCAATTGAAATGAGAAACTCAGTGGAACATAAAATAATCGCCTTTAGAAAAAAGATGTAGAATAAGCTGAATCAGTCCTGCTTTAAAACAGTGCTTTTTATGCTATATGTTAACTCTTTTTTTTCTCTTTTTTTACTAAATACACTACTTTTTGTTGCAACCTTGAGTCTAGAAGATTTTGGGGGTTCATGTTCAAAAGATTTTGAAAGGTAAAATGTTCTAATTGTGTTTTTTTTCTTGGCATTTGGTCAGCTACAGTAGCTTCTCCAAGTCTAATGTTTTAAAGAAAAAATATCAGGCTGCCTATAGATGTGCTGGTTTGCATTATAATTAGAACGTATCAGAGCAGAGCAGACTCAAGGGATGCTTTAACTAAGGCTCGTGTCACGAGTCCCAGCCATTTTAAAATGCGGGTATGGCTTAAGGGGGCATACAAGCAGGGGTGATTTAATACACATGATGGAGAGTTGTTTTAATTAGTGGCTGTCAGGGAAGCGCTCAAACTAAAATGGCCCTTCCCCACCCCTGAGCACATGTATAGGCACGTGTAGTGTTTAGTTTCATTTTCAGATCAGTCCTTATCTTACTGCTATATGCTGTTCTCCAGTTGCAACGCATGTGATATTCCACGTGTCATGCAAAAGTTGCTGAGTGGTTTTTGTTCTTTTCATTTCGTGCCAATTTGCCAGCCACATTCAATTTTTTGTGCCCCCCCTCTAACCCATCATGTTAATTTGCATTGTTTGACACTTCACACCATGCTGCATAAAACCTGTTTGAGTAAGAAATGATCACACATGGTGGACCTTGTTTCATTACCTCCTTTCCCCACTCCCCAGAGTCCTTTTGCATGTATTTTGGTAGGAAGGGGAACTCTGGGCTTAGCTTATTTGATAACATTACCATTTGTCATATTTCTGTAACGTAAGTGGTACTCTTCTATCCTTCTCATTATTTGGGGCTGTCCCATGTGCTAGAAACTAATTTTCCTACACACGGCACAGATGTGTTACTGATCCTTTTTCTCTTTCTGTAACAGAATATAACCAACTAATGTTTATAAAAGCCAACAACCCTAGAGAGAAAGTTTCATACTCTTGCCTGCATTTCTATACACAGTGAGTTTTTATTTTGATTTTTCAAGCATTGTTCATTATTAGTCATTTCCCTCATCAGGAAGATGTTGTGGGGTTGCCCACACAGAGGCTGGTGTTTAACTTCAAAGTATGGCTCCAGCAATACAGTGGTAGTTCTGCCTTGCTTCCGTGTGGGTAAGCCATTATCGTGTGAGCTGCCACTTCTGGCTCAAGAAAATGGAGATGCTTCGCAGAGGTGAGAACCTTGTTATGAGAAAAAAATTAATGAATACCAACAAATGCAAATGCACATAAAAAGCCCACTGTCATTATATACATTGACCATCATACCGAAACACTGAAAAAGAAAATTCTAAAATAAGTAATCTCCAGCCCCATAAAGCTTCCTTTTTTCAATATCATGTCAAAATTGAAGAGGCTTTATGTAATGACGAAACATTTCTAAGGCCAAACTTCCCCTCCTCGAGTAATGTCTTCAAATACACTTTAAAATGCCTCTTCTAACGCGAATCTAAATCCGTTGCACTTTCCCCAACACAACCAGCAAGGAGGCCACACTGGATGCTAGAAGGAAACCAAAAGGTCAAACTCTTCAAACGTCCTTCCTATATTCTTTTAACAAGGGTAACCCACCCACGCAAAGCCCGGTTGTAATACTCGAATCATTATTTGGAATGGGGAAAAAGGCTCATTATCCCTTCTTTTAAACCTCTTTTCATATTGTAATCATGTGAGGAAGTTTAAGTAGGTTAAAAAAAATCTCCCCTTTTGACTTGGCAAATCATCCTGTATGCTTTGGTTAAGATATGACCAAGGCATTGGCTTATTCCACTTGACCCTTGCTGCCTACCATCTTTCCCTCACTACTGACATACTGAATAAGAACACATTTAAAATATCCTACAGGACTGAAGCTTACAGAAGTTTTGCCCTGCACTGCCAATGCTGCAGGAAATGTGATATATTCTTATTTTCAAGAAGACAAAACAGAACTCTGCTTCAAAACTTTTATGGGGGGGGTGTTTAAAATATTTAAACGAAATAAAGAGGGAGGGGAAGTAAAGACGTTTATTTAATTTTTGGACAATGAGCAGAAGGAAGAAAAAGACGATCGTGCAGCAGTGTTATAGCATAATTTTCTACTGAACCAAGTTAATGCAGCAACAAGATAAATATCAATGTCTAGTCTAGATATGAAATGGATGCCTCTGCATTCATTGCTATATTGCAGTATGGAACAAAAATCGGGCTAGTTATTGTTCGACCCCTTAAGGTAAGACCTCTGCCCCTACGACCCGAGGACCCGATCCTGATGACCGTTTCATTCTTGCTGAGCCTTGGAGAATTCAATCATTTTTCAGATAGGTGCAGCACCGCTGTGGCATACCATGAATTGCTGGAGAGAAGCCTAAGTAGCAGACCTTTTAGCAGGAAGATTTTTTAAAACACTGGGTAATGCACTACGTGAATGTTGGTTTCTGAGCAACTGAGTTCTAACTCCATTTTTATTTTATGTCAGCAGTAAAATGTGACCATGTGTGTAGTTCAAATGGTAATAATATTTGAATATTATGCAAGTGCATTCTCAGGGCATGGGAAAAGAACAAGGTCCCATTTGTTCATCTCCTGCCAAGGTCTTCATGAAATTTAGGATGAATTTGCTTAACCATAGGTGGCCTAAAACGTTTTGAAATGCTCTTTAAAATGCCAGACCTTCTACAGAACCCGTCAAACTCTGTCAGCAGAGTGCTGTGAATTCAGTGGCAATCTTGTTTGCGATTTGACATAGGATGTACATTCACACAGCTGGTTATTTGATGTTTAGGTTGGTTTAGCGAAGTTGTAACGTGACATTTCCTTTCCCAGACCTTTTTAGTTAGGCCATCAGAGAATGGTTTAGCTCATTAATATTCTACAGCTGTTCTTTTTTTTTTTTTTAAAGCTGATACTAACAGCTTCGTTAACGAGAACCCTATTTAAAGGTCAGGTGGTCCATTCTTATTTGAAGCTGCGGCTACCTGGCTTCATTTTCCAACACAAGTCTACTTGACAAGAGGTCATCTGAAATCTGTTTGTGATTCTCTGCTACACAGGCTAACCACATCCTGACATAACACATGTTGTTTCATAAACAGAGAGAACACGCAAACTCCCTGCCACTGTCAGCACGGCTCAGCTGCTTTGTCTGACTCTGCAGAGGGTTTGGCCCCAAGTCTTTTTCCAGATGCACCAGCTGCCCCGGGCTTCTCGGGGGAGCGGTGCGGCCTGGCCTGCCTTCTCGAACTGGTGTCACACAGAGCTCATGCTCGTGCAGGGCTTCTCACCCTTTTTCAGATGCGAGACCCCCGTTGATAGATGCAAGGCACCCTGGATAGACTTGAGGCTCCCCTGACAGGCCTGAGACAGCCTTGATAGACATAAGGGCCCCCCCCCCCCATTGACTCGAATCGCCCTCGATGCTTGAGGTACCCCTCGATAGACGTGAGGTGCCCTTGATGGACGGGAGGCACGCTTGATGACTCGAGGCTCTCCTAGTAGATGCAAGGTACTTTGATAAGACCTGAGGTACCCTTGATAAACTAGAGCCCTCCCTCATAGATGTGACATACCCTTGATAGCCTCAAAATCCCCTGATAGACTCGAGACCTCCCAACAAATGTGAGGTACCCTTGATAGACATGATGTCCCCTGAGAGCTGTGAGACACCCTTGATAGACTCCGGCCCCCCGGGAGATGCACGGTGCCCAGATAGACTTGAGGCACCCTTGATACACTCACAGCCCCCCAATAGACTTGAGGGCCTCCCAGCCGACGTCAGATACCCTTGCTAGACTTGAGGTCTATGTGAGGTAAATGTGAGGTACCTCTGATAGGCTCAACCCCCGCCCGTAGATGTGAGGCACCCGTGATAAACATGACATCTCTCAACAGCTGTAAAGCCCCCTTGATAGACCCCAGGCCCCCTCATGGAGGCAAGGCCCCCTGATAGACCTGAGGTACCCCTGATAGACTACTGCCCCCCATAGATGTGAGGTACCCTTGATAGACTCGAAGCCCCCGATAGACTTGAGACCTCCCAACAGACGCGAGATACCCTCGATAGACCCGAGTCCTCCTGACAGATGCGAGATACCGTTGACAGACTTGAGGTTCCCCCAACGGAGGTGAGGTACTTTTGATCGACTCAACCCCCGCCCCCATAGAGGTGAGGCCCCCTTGATCGACTCTTAGCTCCCTGATAGACTCGAGCCCTTCCGATAGCCCCCTTGAGAGACTCCAGACAGATGCGAGCTGGGGGCATCCCGCGCTTTCCAGGGGCCGCTGCCCCGTGCGCGCGGGGAGCCCGGGCGGCCCCCCCCCTCCCCCTCCATGGCCGCGGGACGCGGCGGCTGGGCGGCGGGGC